ATTTCCCCACTTGGTAATAGTAGCAGTTATAGAGTCTATTGTATTTATTGCAATTTTGTGTTTAGATAGAATTATTGTGTTTGGCAGTTATTTTGGTGCTGGTTAAAAGTCAATGAGTGTGTTAAGTTTTTGTGTTTTACGCATGCGTGTAGATAGTCTAGCCGACATTTATATCTAAGTGTAGATGTTGGCGTGATTAAAAAATTGAGTTTGGGGTTATAAAAGAGAAAGAAAAAAGCAGGAAATTGTTTACTTAAAAAAGAGTGTATATGTGTATTTTTTAAAAAATTTTATAGAGAAAAGAAGTTTCTTTAGAGAGTTATTGAAGAAGGGACGAAGAAGAAAAGACAGAAATAAAAAGGCTAAAAAGAAAAAAAAAAGAAAATGCAAAAGAAAGACGAAAGAAAACAAGATAGAAGGAAGGAAAGAAGGAAGACAGGAAGGAAAAAAAAGAAACAAATAAATAGCTTAAAAAGAGAAAAAAAGGAGAAAAAGAGGAAAATACACAAAGGTGAAATCATAGAAATCGCTAAAAAGAAAGCAAAAAGAAAGAAAAAAGAAAGAAAAAAAGAAAGCAAAAAGAAAGAAAAAAGAAAGAAAAAAGATATGAAAGCGTTAAAAAGAAGAAAAAGGATAAAGGAATGGATGATATAAAGTTAAAAATCAACAAAATGAAAGGGAAAAAGAATAAAGAAACATCTTGCCTTATTTACATTACTCAGACTCTTATCCTCATCTTCATTACCATATTCACAACGTTTCAGCCGTTGTACGCTCCGGCCTTCTTCGGATGATTGGAATTTCGAACCGAATGCTTTATTTCGTCCACCGGGGTACATTTTTGTAGTTCCATGTGCCATGCCTCTTCCAGATGTCTCAGTTATTTCCCTTTAACTCAACGCTCCAAGTTTTCGTTCACCGATGCTGTGGCCTGGTATTGAACTCACAACTCATTAGGTCTAGTCACTGGATCTAACCAACATTTTTATCCACTGGGCCATGTGTCCTTGGATGAAATAAAGAGTTCAGTTCGAAATTTCAATCACCTGAAGAAGGCCGGAGCGTACAACGACCGAAATGTTGTGAATATAGCAATAAAGATGAGGATAGCAGTTTGAATAATGCAAATAATGCAAGTAATCATAATACCTCATCTCAGAGATATAGAGGCCGAAACGTTGTGAAGATGACAATGAAGATGACGATAACTGTCCGAATAATGTGAAAAATGCAATTAATCATAATAGCTCCTCTAAGAGATATCAACAGATAAAGAAACATCTAGAAAAGAAATCGGGGGTGGAATTTTATAGAAAAAGAAAGACACAAGTATGGGTCATCTAGTTAAGTTTAAACCATTTACTCAGCAGTATGGAATTACCAAACTTGCCCGTTAAGCCCTCAGTTATCAGCCATACGTGATCATGTATCTTTCGATACATGACTTACGAGGCAGATTTTTTTCCCGCAGTAGGTTGCCGTTTCTTTCTCCGGTAGACCAGTTGCCATCCAAGGCTATAGATCTGTCCTGATATTTACTCATAGCTGGCGGGAGAAGAAGAGGATTAATGTCTTTCCCAAGTATATTAGCACGTAAGTGAATATAATGGATTCGACTGTAATTCGAACTCGGCTCTCTGATTTCTCAATCCGAAAAATAAACAAAGAATGAATCCATTACTCCACCGTGCCTCACTCAAAGTCAGTAATGGATTCGACTGTAATTCGAACTCGGCTCTCCTTGCCTTCCTTTAGCCGTTAAGTCTTACGAACACTGAATTGCAAAAGGAAAACACGTGAGCTAATAATAATAATAATAATAATAATAATAATAATAATAATAATAATAATAAAAAATGGAAAAAAAGAATAAGAGGCGATGCTGATTGGTGGGCAACTCATTTACATATTACTGTCAAGGTTATTAGTTAATGTTCAAGCATAGATAAAATCTGTGATTTCGAATGCTGATTTTCAAGGGAACTACGCCTGTGCTACTAAGAAGAATTGTGAAGCCCAACCGCTCATTTTTACTAGCCTTAAGCCAGACTGAGATAAGCTTAGTAAATAGCAATAGAAACTAATTAATTCCGACGTTAAAAGAGAAAAGAAGAAGAAAAAAGAGAGAAAAAAAAATAAGGAAGCAGCGAGACCTAAAAAAAAAGGATAAAAGGAATGAAACACGTGTGAACGACAAACGAGAAAATGAAAACAGAAAAAAAGGAAAAAAAGAAAGGGGGGAGCAGCGCAATGTAAAAATGATAAAAGGAATGAAAATAAAGAAAGAATGAAAATGGAGAAAACGAAAGCAGATAAAGTGAGAGGAAATAAAATAGAAACTAAAATATAACAATGGGAGTAAATAAAAGAATAAGAGTGAACAAGTGAGAAGGTGAAAATTAAGCGAGAGAAGGCAGATGAGAACGTGACAGAATGAGACAAGTAGAAGGAGGGGGTAAAAGAAATAGAAAGAAAAATATGAGAGAGGACAATGAAGAGAGAGAGAGAGAGAGAGAGAGAGAGAGAGAGAGAGAGAGAGGGAAGCAAAGACGGAAACCGGTAAATATCAAGTGATAGATAGATAGATAGATAGATAGATAGATAGATAGATAGATAGATATATGTGAGGAAGAAATAGAGAGAAAATGAGAGAAGGAAGAAAAGGGGATGGATAAAGAGGTAGAAGGTAAAAAAGAGAGAAGGAATGATGATAAGCTAAAAATAGAAATAAAAATAAAAGGGAAAGAGGAGATAGAGAAGGAAGTGAATATAAAAAAAGGAAAAAAAAAACGAAGAGAAAAGTATAAAGAAGTAGAGCAAGAGAGAGAGAGCAAGAGAGAGAGAAGAAATGAACTTTAAAGGCGGTGAATAACAAAGGAATGTGAATGAGAGAGAGAGAGAGAGAGAGAGAGAGAGAGAGAAAGCAAGAGAGAGGAGTAAAATAGAATGTAATAGAGAGTGAAAAAGAGAAAGGACGAGAACGTGAGATATAAAAAGAGTAAAAAAAATAAAAGAGAAAAAAATAATGGCGGAGAGCATGATAAGAAATGGAGAGAGAAGGAAACAAAAGGAGAGCATACATGGAAACCTGAAGATTCGTCTGTTGTGCAGTTTTTCTTTGACCCGTTTTATTCCCCTTCCAATCCCAAAACCTTACACATAAAAATAACAAACTAACCTGAAGCAAAGAGAAAATTTCTTTTTACACACCAAAGTGCATAAGTGCTAAATACGATGATATATTTGCATATAGAATAATGGCTATAGTATTTTGGGTTCTATGTGGTTTGTTCAATAAATTAAGATGAAATGTGTAACTCAGAGCCTCGCTTTTATCCGGAATCAATTACCGATGGTTAAAAATAGCACGGGAAATAGTTATCACCCTTCCAGATACAGCCTACATGTCTGTGTTTCTCAACATATCTCTAAACACATCGAAGAATGCGTGGTTTCGCCAAAAAGTAATATCTGTTCTAATAACTGGCTTGAAGTTGAGTGACTATATCGAATCAATAGCTGCATCTACTGCAAGGAAACTTGGGTCACTCTGTCGTGCTAGAAGTTTTTTTTCTCGTCAGTGTCCATCTTGCACATATACAAATCTACCGTTCGTACCGTTGGATACTGCTGCCATATCTGGTCTGGTGCTCCTGATATTCCTCTCGAGGTTCTTGATAAAATCCAAAAAAGGATCTGCAATGTGTCATCTCGACTTCAGTGACTTTCTCACCGACGTGTTGTGTCTTCCCTCTGTCTTTTCTACAAATACTTTCATACTAACTGCTCTGGAGAGCTATTTTACCTGGCCCCACGTGAATTTAAGCATTATACCAGATTTATATCTAGAACCCACGTTTTATTGTTGAAATAGTTAAATGTAACCATCACTTCTCCCCCAATAGCTTCTTTTCTCACGCTTCCCGCCTGTGGAACTCCCTTCCGTTTGTTTGCTTCTCTGATAAATACAATCTTCCAAATTTTAAATGCAACGTCAATCGCCATTTTCAATACGCTTGAATCCAATTCATCTTTCATTCTTACTTCTATTCTCTTTATACTCAGACTTTTCTGTCACTTTCCCTCCCTGTAACCCACTGCGTACTAGTGGCATTCCCATCTTGCTTGGGGCGAAATGATTAAAAAATCTACTTAAAGAAAATATTCGAATACTTAAAGCCGGAAGAATTTACTTAAAGAAAATATTTGAACTCATAAAGCCAGTAGAATCTATTTAAAGAAAATATTCGAATTATTATATCCAGAAGAATCTACTTAAAATATATTCGAATTCTTAAAGCCAGAAGAATCTACTTAAAGAAATTATTCGAATTGTTAAAGCCAGAAAAAACATCTGCGGAGATATTTATTCGGTTTCTAAGTATAATCCCCTCAAAAAATAGCCGCTCACCTGGATCAACGTAGAAAGCAAAGAGGTGTTATAGAATGTGTGTTCTTAAAAGGAGGGATTGCTGCAAACATTCACGGGTCTTTATTGACTATTTCCGGATCGACTGTATTTGATGTACGCACAATCTTCTTATTGATCAGTAGAGGTAATGGAAATCCCAGAGAAAAAGGTGAAAGTAACCATAGTGATATGACCCGCTGCATTGTGAATGAATATAAGCCTAAACATCTTCATGCCCTCATTACAGCTGACAAAAAATTACGTGAATTCTTTTATGTTGTCCATGTTAATTTAAGTATGAATTTCAAGGATGAAGAGTTGTTATTTACTCATGTCCTCATCTTTGTTCTTATTATTACTATGTTTAGGCTGTTGTGCTTCTTTAGGTATATGTCGTTTATATGTCCAGGCCTAGGTCTATCTCGGCTACTTATTTACGGCATCTTAGTCAAAAGTCAAAGACTGTATTGTCTGGTCCAGGGATTGTAATAATAAATACTCCAGGCTATAGTCCCGTGAACCTTGAATTTAGAGCATTTCGGCTCGGCTATAGTTAAATACTAAATGTACTTAAATAAAAGTAGAACACATGGACTCTCATGTGAACAAGTGAAACGCAATATTTGAAAGTGATTAAATAAATAATAAAATAACACAAATATTTTGATAATGGCTAAAGATAGCAAGAAAGAACGCGAACATAGAGTAATATGGTTTTGAAATATCAGCTTGGAACAAAATAGTATAATTTGGAAAATTGCAAAAAAACTTAACCAACGTTTATCTATCTATCTATCTATCTATCTATCTATCTATCTATCTATCAATCTATCTATCTATCTATCCCAAAGAGGATATCGGCTTGGATTGAGGAATCGGAGAGCCGAGTTCGAATTCCAGTCGAATCCATTACATTCACTTACGTGCTAATACCCTTGGGAAAGATGTGAATCCTCTACTTCTCTTCCCAGCTATAGGTAAATAGCAGGAGGGAGAAGAGGGAGGTAAATAGCAGAACAGGCTGGGTTCTATAGCCTTGGATGGCAACTGGTCTAGGAGAAGGAAAACTCTGAATTCAAAACCTGTGGAGGGTCGTTTGGGGACCTTGTGGCACGTAGTGCACCAGGTCTCTGTATTCGGCCCTTCAAAAAGTGTGGATGGTCCTGCACAAAACCTTCACCATGTGCTATACATGCGGGTTAGGGACCGCTTGTGAATTCCAAATTCCCATGAAACTCCAATATTGGAGCCGGCTCCGGTTGAATGCCGTTAAAAAACAAGAGAGATCTATCTATCTATCTATCTATCTATCTATCTATCTATCTATCTATCTATCTATCTATCTCAATCTGTTCCTATCTATCTATCTATGTCGAAAACAGTGCTTAGAGCGTTTATTGTATTTTTTTCTCTATGTTATTACACACACACATACACACGCATACATACAAACACACATATATACATACATATATATATATTTGCCTGGGAGAAACATCCTGATTATTTGCAGTGTAATTATTCTTTGCTAATTCAGTTAATTAGTGAATTTTCCAGTAGATCTGGAACTATTACTTTTAGTAGCAAAAGTCGACATGTCACTTGCTTCTGTTTCTGATTCATTCGATCTGTTATTGAGCATTTCATTTTTGATTTCATCATTCTCTGGATGATGTTTTCTCCGACTGCAAGAGAAATATGATGAAGATTTATAAGGTTAACTTCATAACTCTTTACAGACACAAAACACTAATACATACGCACACATGCGTATGTGTGTGTGTATGTATAAAGATTTATGAAGTTTATATATATATATATATATATATTTATACGAAAAAATTTAACATAAGTATGTCATGAAATCACTACAAAATAATCATTTTGTCTCAAAACTTTAACACGTTGAATGTAGAATATATATATATATATATATATATATATATATATATATATATATATATATGAAATGGACAATTATTTTAAGACATTTTATGTTTATACATTCTTTTATAGATACAAATATTTAAGTAAATGCCCTGTTTTATAATAAACAGTATTAAACAACATTTATCGGCCTGAATGTCCGAGAAATTTTCATAGAAACACACTCAATTAAGCTGAAAATCGAATCATCCTTGATAATGGCTAAAGGTATAGCCGAAAGCGCTCGTAAATATAAAACATTTGGACAGTTCTTACACACCCTTAGTTCAGAAGAGAAAGCTCTTGTCAGAAAACAAGAAAGAGTAAATAAAAAGCTTAACCGTAGTATCTTGTCTGTCGTTTTTAATGAAACATGCATAAAGGAAGGATTGCTGCCTAAATATACAACTATATATATATATATATATATATATATATATATATATATATATATATATATATATGTATATATATATATATGTATGTACATATATATATATGTATGTATGTATATATATATATATATATATATATATATATATATAAAACTTAACTATTTAAACATTAATTAATATATTAATATAAAAGCAGATACTTGTGTGCATGTGTTTGTATGCATGCATCAGTGCCTATGTACCTATATATATATATATATATATATATATACACATATATATATGTATATATATATACATATATATACATATATGTACGTATATACGTATATATGTATGTGTGTGTGGGCGTGAATATATGAATATAAGTATATGCATACATATTTAAACAACAATCAATAACGTTTAAATATAAACATAACACCTTATGCCCTAATACTTAAAATACCACCAGATTAAATAAGAAAAATGAAATAATGTGTAAATGAAAACATATAAATATTTACTTTACCATTTCAGCATTAAAAATTATTTAAGTAAAAAATATGGAATTCAACTATATTCCTAAAGCTGAAGAATGCCCGTGACGTTTGAGAATTACTAAGTAGAGAGTTGCTACATTTGGCTTTGACACTCAGAATTTAAAGAGAGAAAAGATATAAAACCACGGAGAAGAGAGACTATGGAGAGACAGGGAAATTGATGACGGTATAGATGGCCTCAAAATTCTACACGTACACGCATGCACGCGGGCAAACGCATGCACATACCCACGCACGTACACACACTTAATGAAAGAAGAAAATCAACATTACACCAATAAAAAGTGCATAAACCATTTTTTTTAACTTAATGTAAAATAACGAAAACTAGAAAATAAGCATTCAATTGTTTGTATCTCCTGGCGAGTAGACGGAGCGATTTTCGGAGAGCCGAGATGCTGAATATAAGAAATGTAGGAAAACAATGCATCACTTCTTTAGTGAACTTGATTAAATGTATGGCGGTACAGGATTTAGGAGAAATAACTGAAAGAAAAAAAAATATTAAGAGCTACAAAAGACAGGAAGTTGTGGAGAGTCATGATGAACTAGGTCCTTAGGAGAACACGTCACATAAAGAAGAAGAAGAAGAAGAAGAAGAAGAAGAAGAAGAAGAAGAAGAATTGCAGGTCGACGCTGGTACTCGAACTCTTCATTTACTTTTTTGTGTGTGTGTGTGTGCATTTCTGGAGTTTCCACGAGTCCCTGTTCGCGCAGACCTAACTTAATTAAAAAAAACAAAAAAACAAAAACAAAAACAACCCCAAAACACCCCCACCCCCAAAAAAACACAGGAAATATAATAGAAATGAAGATAAGGTGAGCAGATGATGTTCAGTAAATGAACAACAATAACTGGGTTTCTTTGCCGATGCGAACAAATTAATCCAAACGGCTGGCAAATATGTTTTATGAGCAAGAAAAGCAGTAAAACAATTTTATTACTGCTACTGCGCATGCGTAGATGTGTGTTCCTCTCTGATAACGAGTCAATGAATGGATCATTATGATAAAATATTTGGGAATATCAAAAGCTGTATTTTAAGTTATCCGCCTTTGCTATCATAGCGATAATATTTCCTATCCTTATATCGGGGCTCAATTACACACACACACACACACACATACACACACACACACACACACACACACACACACACGCGCGCAAACAAACCAAAAAACTAGAAATTAAAAAAAATTATATGTGGGGGTCAATTTTCCTCACTAATTTATAGTAAACACAAGGCCACAAAATAATAATAACAAGAAAAAAAACAAACAAAACAAGAACGTTCAGACAGAGAAATTGTAGAAATAAATAGATTTTTATATAATAAATGAACAAAACAATAGTTATGAATCTTGTTTAAAATGGTGAAATAAACTTGTCTCTTTAGATTTTTGTGTGAGGCAATGTTCCAGTTTGATAGACTGCAAGTCTAGGGTAATTTGTGTTAATTTGGAAAAAAATCGTATTATTTGCATTATTCGGACTATTGTACGCCCTGGCCTTCTTCAGGTGGTTCGAATGTCGAACTGAACCCTTTATTTCGCTCACTGGGGTAGACTGTTCTAGTTCTACGTGCCATGTTTAATGGATGTCAGTTATCAGTTATCTCCTGTTAATTCACCTATCCAAGTTCTCCACTGTCTTAACCGGGTATTGAACTTACACCTTTTGGGTCCTGTCCAACACCTTTATCCACTGTGCCATGTGTCCTCAAACGTTGTAATAAATATGGCGACAAAGATGAGGACAATAGTCCGAATAATGTAAATAGTGTACATAATACCCCATCTCAGAAATATAGACAGATACTGGAAAAATTCAGTTCAATTTAATATTGTTTGTATTCAAAATAAACCGTTCGAAGTTTGTGGAAAAGGTGTGTGTGAGTGTGACTTACGTTGTGTTTGACTTTTGAGTGTCTGTCGCTTTGTTGTTTGCCGATGTGAATTTAGTTTGCATTGAATGAAATGTGTTTATGTGAAAAAGCATTTTTAACTTATAGTCTAGACTTCAGTTGAAAGTTATTTTATGAGTGTCGTCGCTTAGCGTGTAGCTTTTTCGACTGGTTTTCACCCACTCACTGTTTCTTAATTGTTTCTTGTTTATATAAGCAATAATTAACGTAATAGGCTTCAAATAATGTTTTAAAATTTTGGCGCAACTGTAGCTTTGATCAGGTCAAATTAAGGTCAGACTTGCAGACGTAGTCGATTGACGACATGCCATGTGATATTTTTGAACCAATCAAATTACGCTAATTGTATAATTTAATTTGGAGCCTATGTTCAGTTTAATTTTTGAAGTTCCGAGAACAATATAAGACCTGGATCCTATATATATATATATATATATATATATATATATATATATATATATATATGAAAATTTCTCAGAGTTAACCTGTAGAAAAGACAATATTTATAAATATAAATGACAATAGGAAAACTGTAGTTATTGCTGACGCGTTTCCTCCAATGTGGACTTTCTCAAAGCAAAAAACGAAATGAATTTAATTCAAGAAAGTAACTAATAATAACAGAAAACAGAATGTATTTAGCAACTGGAAAAATGTAGAGAACGCTATTTTCATTTTGTTAACTGAAAATAACCTCAGTTATTGTCACTTGTGGAGAATATTGTCATTATAAATGTGTTGGCGGATTCAACCGTTTTCTTTTGATTTTACGATATTGTTGTGTACGTTTGTTTGGGAGAGCAGTGATTTTGTTAAGAAAGGTGAAATAGGGAAAAAAACCTGGGCGTAGATTAATACTGGGTAATATTCTATGGCGGCACTCTCTAGAATTTTCCTCCAGTTGCTAAGAACATTTTGTTTTTTGTTAGTTACGTCCTTTAATTAAGTTCATTAGGTTTTTTGTTTTAAAAATGTCCACATTGGACGAAACGCGTCAGCAATAACTACAGTTTTCCTATTGACATATATATATATATATATATATATAATGAAATGGACAAAGTCCGACAATTATTTTAAAACATTTTTATGTTTAACATTCTTTTTATAGATATAAATATTTAAGTAAATGCTCTGTTTATAATAAACAGTATTAAATAACATTTACCGGCCTGAATGTCCGAGAAATCTTCATAGAAAATATTCGTTCTCCGACAGGATTCGAACCTGTATCCTATACTGAACCGTCATATATTATTATAAACAGAGCATTTACATCCTTGTTTCAGGATCCCGCATTCAATTTGCGGACTGAAAAAATGCCAATGAATTTTAGTTCAATGACTAAAAATCAGTTTATCCATATTGCAGCTGCACTGAAAAGGGAAGGATTACCTACTGCTAAATTTCGTCTGTGTGGATCTGGCAAAATGAAGAAAATTAATTCCCTTAACAATACGGGTTGTTTTGGATCTTGCTGTCACACCACAAAGACACCAAAAGAAGACATTGCACTCAGCGTGAAAGTTGCCACGAACTACAGTTATCAAAAGAGACAGTCTCCTGCATTCTTCAACAATCCGAATTAAAGTGAGATAGAAGAATTAAATGCAATTGTCTTACTGAAGCACATAAAAAAATACTAGAAACAAATGTGAGGCACTGAGAAATCGTTTCGAAGAACAAGATAAGTTTTCTAATGAATCCAATTTTCTGTCTTCGAACACCTTTGAACTGTCAGAATGATCGAATTTATCGTGTGCTGTATATGATAAAGCAAACATTTCGGAGAATGATCTTCCGGTAGAAATTAATAGACAACAGACATCACTCATGTGCTATGGGTGAAGTCTCCTGGCATGGTAAAGAGGTGGAACGAATACATCGGGCAACTCACCCACGACGAAATAGAACAACCGGCGATACAAGGAAATAACGAAGGACCATAAATATTGAAATCCGAAGTAAAATCAGGAATGACCAAATTGAACAGAAACAAAGCAGCAGGACCAGACGGAATGGTAACAGAGATGCTGGCAGATGATTTCGGCAGTGACAAGATTATAGACATAATAAATGAAATATAACAAAAGTGGTAATATACCGGAAGATCTTAGTAGGTCCATTTTCATAGCATTGCCTAAGAAGCCAGGTACAGACGATTAAGAATTCTGTCCGACAATGCCTTTTATTAAAGGAGATGCTGCTGGGCGAGAACAATGAAAAACAAACTGTGAATTAGCATGCGTATAGAGATGAAATGTGCACCCAAATGTTCCACGACATAAACCAAGAAATGTGAGTTATAATGGGCATAGCAAGAAGATGGAGCAAAAACCCATACAGCCGAGGATACTGTTGCCAGGCTCAGTCGATACTCCTGATTTCATAGAACGTAACGAATGGCCCTCAAAAAGTTCAAATCTTAACGTAATGGATTTTACCGTGTTAGTGTTACGCCAAATTCATTTATAGAGGAGATAGTTCACAGACATACACTCCTTTACAACTGTGTTGATAGAAACTTGGTACAATATTCCGCTTGAAGTTAGCCAAACGGCGACCAGAGGAAGGCAAGAGACTCTACGTCGTTGTGCAGCTGCCCAGGGAAATCATTTTGAATACCACATCGGGCATTTGTGTTTTTATTCTGCTTTTAGCTATTAAATTTCTATCCTTTGCCTTTGTTTCAAATAGCTGTAACAAAAATTTCAACAATTAAATAAACTGTACCAAATTTCCCTTTTTTGTGGTTGGCAGTCTTTAGTTAATATTTCCCGCTCGGAGAAGTCATTGGAGTTCGAGCGGAAATAAAAGGCAACATTTCAAAGATTTTTCATTCTTTTTGCTTTTTTTTAAAAATTTTTATTCTTATTTTTCTTTCTATCCTTTTTCCTTTCTTTCTATTTTCTGTTCCATTTTCTTTCTTTTTTTACTCATTACTTTTATTCTTTTTTCTTCTTTCTTAATTTTACAATTTTTAAAATATTTTTAATCTTTATTCGTAAGAGCATTGCACTCCGCCTATTTGATTTCTTTCTTTCTTTCTTTCTTTCTTTCTTTCTTTCTTTCTTTCTTTCTTTCTTTTATTTTTTTCCTCTTTCTTGCTTTTACTTTTCCTGATTTTTTCAAACCAGGAAAAATGCAACTTTCCTTTTGTTGGTATAAATTGATGGCCTGACGATTGGTGTAAATTGATTTAAGCATGAAATAGACTCTTACCGCTCTCTCTCTCTCTCTCTCCACACACACACACACACACACACACACACACACATATATATATATATAAACAATTAATAATAAAGAAACGTATTAAATTTTAGAAGTATATGTGCTTTTGTTAGACATCAACAGGATGCATAAAATGCAAGGACAGAAAATTTATACTTAAAGAAAAATACTTCAGAGGTGGAACGAATACATATGGCAACTCGTCTACGACGAAAGAGGACAACAGGCGATACACAGAAGTAACAAAGGATCAGAAATATTGAAACCTGAGGTGGAATCAGCAATGACCAAATTGAACAGAAACAAAGCAGAAGGACCAGACGGAATGGTAACAGAGATGCTGGCAGATGATTTCGGTAGTGACAAAATTAAAGACATAATAAATGAAATATACAAAAGTGGTAATATGCCGGAAGATCTTAGTAGTACAATTTTCATAGCACTGCATAAGAAGCCAGGTGAAAACGATTAAGAATTCTATCCGACAATCAGGCTAATGAGCCTTATAACAAAACTTATCATTCGAATTCAGATGAATAGAGCTGACAGTAGAATTAGATCGGAGATAGGGTAAGATCAATGTGGATTCTTTAAATAGACTAGGACAAATAATGCAATATTTATGTTTGGAATGATTTCCAAAAGTGTAATACAAATAAAGAAGGATGTGTACCTGTGTTTTAGGGAATATGCAAAGGTGTTTGATTAAATAAGAGAAAGAACACATGGAGTAAAATCCACAGGTCGGAGCATTTATTTTTTTAAAATGTGCTCAGTACAAAGTAGTACAAATTATTACTATTATATCTTTATTATAAGAGATTATAATAATCGCTAAACAAAATCTTTCATGTTTCAGTACTATGATTGTACTTTCTCAGGTGATGGTTGGTAACTGGTAATAAAAAGATTTTTAGGGGAATTTAAAAACAAATCGTTACCTCTTTTCCGAAAGTTAAAGTGGGTGTGCATAAGGTCAGAATTAAAGATATACATGTGGGTATGTCTAGATTAACCAATTAAATGTCAGATCTACGCTAAAAAGGAAAAAATAAGGTCAGAGGGTGGAGGTCAGTGAGTTATTTATTCACGTCATGATAAACCGGCTCTTAGACATCCAATGATTGTGGAGAACATGGCAGCGACAAATATATTATAGATGTAACCAACTATAATGTTCCGATTGGTTAAAGTGGTTGGGGAGGTTAATCAGACATAAAGTTATCAGAAACAAATTTAAAAAAAATATATATATATATATTCAGGAAGATTTTTTAAAGTTGATAAAATTAAAAATGTAAAACATCTATATACAATGCTAATAATACTGAATAGACAGCAAAAAGGTTCCACTTGGGAAGGTTAGCCAGTATGACAAAAAATGCCCAATAACAAATGAAACTAGCGTTATGGTACAGGAGTTCCTAGGTGGAACTTTTTTTTTTACGGACATTTAAGATCTTGACCGGATGATTTACCGTCCCCACCGTGCGAGTTTGGTTTGCCTGTCAAATTGAACTCGCCTGGTTGTATGTAGGATACTAAATTTGATATCCCGCAAATCAAACCAAACTGAACCAAGCCAATCGGATTTGTATCTAATTTTCCCTTACGGTACCTGTGTTAGATCCACCATCTAAGTAATGACTGGGCTCGACATTGCTTAACTTCGGGGATCGGTGTTCCAGCTTTGGAAATATCCAGAAAGCCTTCCATAAAAGATTGATTTTGGATTTCCATACATTCTGGTCAAGTCAAGATATTTTAAAAGATAGCAAAGTTTGATTCGTGCATTATATATATATATATATATATATATATATATATATATATATATATATATATATATAAATATGTTTAACATTCTTTTTATAGATACAAATATTTAAGTAAATGCTATGTTTATAATAAACAGTATTAACAACATTTACCGGCCTGAATGCCAGAGAAATTTTCATAGAAAATATTCGTCCTCCGACAGTAATTGAACCTGTTTCTTATACGGAACCGTCATATAACCTGACGTGCTTTTTACAGATTTAGCCACAGAGGAGCGTTTCGGGTAGCAAGGCTATATGACTTTTTTGCCCATTTCATAATATATATATATATATATATATATATATATATATATATATATATATATATATATATATATATAAATTTGGTAATTAGAAGTTTACCCTGTAAACACACACACAAACACACACACACACACACACACATATATATGATATAATATGATATGAGATGATAAATTGTCGCCACTTTATATTTTGAATTTTGCGCATGCACGTTGGTTGTTTTTAAAATTGTCGTCGACTGACGGGTATAGCAGGGTCAGTTGGGCACCGTCTGAGAGAAAAAAGAGCACCATGATGCAATTCATTCCGCCAGAAATTTCTAAACGGCATGCTGTATCGCTTGGCATTCATGCCCAAAGCTCCAATACGAACATTTCAGAGTGCTTGGGTGTCAATCTGACGACAGTGAAGAGGATTCGGAAAGAGTTGGATGAGTCTAATGGTGATTACGAATTTTCGGCTTCTCGAGAAACTCACTCTGATCGTTCTGTTAAGAAAAGAACTTCCCAGAGGGTCTCAGACTCAGCACAAAGGCCTACATCACGTAGTGCTGCCCTGGGTCAAGAGGGTGGCTACTGGAAGACCCTATGTCGGGCAACATGACTTCTTACCATGCTACACAAGCAGGAGAACCCAATCATGGATGTCAGATAGTTTTTGCAACCCAATCACCCCTTACATTTGGCCACTTAACTCTCCAGACTACAGCTTCCATGATTATTATGTTTAAGGTGCAGTTGATCGAGATACGAATAAAACCCATTGTAATACCAAAGATGAACTGAAACAAAGAATTATGGCAGCATTCACCAACTTAAACAAGGAGACTGTCCAGAAGAGTACCTAGCAACATTTCTCTACATTCCAGTTGCTAGGTACATTCTGTTTTTGTTTTTATTAGTTACTTTGTTCAATTAATTTCATTTTCGTATTTTGCTTTGATAAAGTCCACATTGGACGAAACGCATCAGCAATTAGCAGTTTTCTTATTGTCATTTTTATTCATAAATATTGTCTTCTACTGGTTAAATCGGAGAAATTTTCATATACATACATACATACATATATATATATATATATATATATATATATATATATATATATATATATATATATATAGTGGAGTTTACAGAGAACAGGAGGTCGTTTAGAAATGCCTGACTGTTTCTTGCGTTCCAGCCTGTTAGAAATCCCCTTCTGTGGTGGCACTCTTTAAGAACGAAAGCAGACCGTCTGATCCTTATAACTATAGGCCTCTTAGCCTTCTACCATTTACTACTACTAGAGGCCTTAATAAACTCTGAATTCTGTCAAACATCTGGCATCACAGGGTCTTCTTTCAGATAAGCAATCTGGCATTCGCCACTCTGGGTCAAGTGCTGATGTATTCAGCCTTTGAGCCGTGCGTTCCTGAATAATTTTAACCTTCTGACCGAGCTCGTAAGTCAAACATTAGTTCTAAACGCGGTATCTCTGCTTATGATACAATTGTTTACTCCTGTCTTTGTACTAAGTCTGATCAGTTTGATAAGGTTAAATTGGCTGCTTGTCTTAAAATGACCGACAATCTGCTGTTAACTGGGGCAAGGAATAGCTTGTCAATTTTACCCCCCGAAAAAAAAACCCTGTTCTCTGTCAATCATCTAAGCGATCCCATTCCGTCTTCCATAAGCATAGTGGATGCGAACCTCGTGGAAGATGACTCATTTCGCCTTCTTGGGCTAATATTTCCCGCTGAGATGTGGAAAGATTATATTGAATCAATTGCAAGAAAATCTGTTCATTGAGTCATGCTAACCGAAGGTTTGAGTATACTGGTCTTACTTATATTGTTGATCATTCTAGATAACACGCTCTCTCTTAGAAACTGTAACTAAGGTCAGCATAGTTGCAGTATAAACCCCAGGTGGGCTATGTGGGTGCTGAACAAACACAAATATGCCCGTGCCAGCGTCTGCAATAGGGATTAGCTAACCGCCCTAATAGACAGGTATCCTGAATACGAGTGACCAACTATTATGTATGTATGTATGTATGTGTCGCTTTCATTCTCTCTTTTTCTCTGTTACTTTTTCTTTTGTTCTCTCTATTCTTCTCTCACTCACACTCTTTATTCCTATTTTACCCTATTCATATCTTTTTGCTCTCTCTCTCTCTTCCGATATTTCTCTTTCTTTCACCTTGTCTTTCATTATTTCTCTACTTTCATTTTCACTTTCACTTTCTCTGTACTACAAAATGTTTATTTCCAAGTGATATTCTTTTATTGTTCTGTGTCCTTAATAGTATTTTTCGTATATTCTCTAACACTCGTCTTTGTGGTGTTATTGCATGGTTGAGGAATATATATATATATATATATATATATATATATATATATATATATATATATATATATATATATATATATATAGTCATCCACAGACAGACTGTTTCGCAGCTCTTCAGTGTGGCTAGACATCCGGATCGAAACCTGACTGAATTGGTGTGAATCGGAGATTCTCCCACTAAGCCGTCGGCGCACGGCAGGATGAAGGTGAATTTTAGCGTATTTATTTTAGATAAACACACACAGTGACCGACAGTGACTCAATTCGCTTTTGCCGAAGAGTCTCGCTATATCAGCCATAATAGTCACTGTTTACAAACCCACACCTCTTCCCCAGAGATCTCAACTGAAATTAATTTTTCATATATATATATATATATATATATATATATATCACTCGGCCACATTCGCTTTCTGACCACGGTTGATTTATTGGGAAGGAAGCTTCCTGAAGTTATTGGTCTGGAGGGGGGGCGATGCCAGCGTGCGGCACCTTTGGAAAATGCCTGGAAACCATACCACGGTTTGACCAAAGCCTTGTGAGTGAAAGTGGGGAGACGGAACACTTGGGTGCCGTCGATAGCTGTGCACACAAGTCTTCGTGACCGAGGGATTGAATGTGTTGGCATTGTTCACATTGTTGATCACGCTAGATAACACGCTCTCTCTCAGAAACTTTAACTAAGGACAGCTCAGCATAGTTGCAGTACAAACCACAGTTGGGCTCTGTGGGTGTTGAACAAACACAAATGTGCCTGTGCCAGCGTCTACAATAGGGATTGGCTATCTGTTGTAATAGACGGCTATCCTCGAATACGAGTGGCCAACTATTATGTATGTATGTATGCATGTATCTATCTATCTCAGTCTCTTTGTTATCTATCTATCTATCTATCTATCTATCTATCTATCTATCTATGCATTTATGTATTGGGTGTATGTAGGTGGCAAATGTTCATTCAAACAGGTATTTTGAAAGGTATATTGGATCTCCGAATCCAGAGTACGTCACGGTCATGCAACGCCAAAGACCTTCAACTAAAATGAAATAACATCACGTTCACGTGACATCACAAATATATAAAGTACAGTATTCAATAGTCACGCCTGCTAGCCGCCCTAGTAGACAGGTATCCTCGAATACGAGTAACCAGCTATTATATATATATATATATATATATATATATATATATATATATATATATATATATATAATGAGAACAAATGGAGTATAATACCACTGAATGTAACATTTAATTTAAAAAGAGGTCTCAATACAGAGTAGAGCTTAATATTGTTTAATTTAGGATATTAAAACAAAAACATGTTAAAAATCGCTATACAATCACAATTATATTTCAACGCTACAAATGTGTCTCCTAGGGCAATGGTAAACTACTGGCGAGTGAGCCATTATTTTAATTTTAAAAGCAGAATAATTTCTCTTTTTTTCTCGAGAAAAAAAAACCCCGAGAAACAGAATTAAAAATAGGCGTGTGGGCTTTGCCGTGACTAACCAATCGAATGTGACCTACGATAATTTCAAACCTACCGAAAAAAATTTTTCATTATATAGGTCATGAAAAATGTAATTCCATTGTCAAACAGTGAAACATAATTGTAAATGTGTAGCGATTTTTAACCTGTTTTTGTTTTAATATCCAAAATTAAATAATCTATCTATCTATCTATCTATCTATCTATCTATCTATCTATCTATCTATCTATCTATCTATTATTTTATTATAAGAGATTGTAATAAAAACATATTGAAATCGCAACACAAAAGATTTTAACATGTTTTTATTATAATCTCTTATAATAAAAATAATAATATATTGCCTTACTTTTTTAAAAGTAAATGATACGGATAGTGTATTTTTACTGCATCTGTTTTTTCTCTCATTTGAATATATTTGCGAGGGATGACAACTGAAGATAAAAAAAATCTCACCAGCTACCAGTCCTCGCCTGAAGAAGTACAGTCATAGTGTTGAAACATGAAAGCTTTTGTGTCGCGATTTAAAATGTTTTTATTATAATCTATTATAATAAAAGTATTTTAAGACTATTTTGCTCTACTTTGTATTGACCACTTTTCAAAAAAAAAAATAAATGCTACGAGCTGTGGATTTTTACACCAATTGTTCTTTCTCTTTTATATATATATATATATATATATATATATATATATATATATATATATATATATATATATATATTATCTAGGCCGGTAAATGTTTAATATATATTTAGGCTGGTAAATGTTATCAACACAGTTTATTATAAAACAGAGAGCATTTACTTAAATATTTCTATTCTATAAGAAGAATGTATAAACATAAAAATGTCTTAAATATATATATATATATATATATATATATATATATATATATTTAAGACATTTTTATGTTTATACATTCTTTTTATAGATACAATATATTTAAGTAAATGTTTGTTTTATATATATATATATATATATATATATATATATATATATATATATATATATATATATATTACTCTTTTACAGTATAATAAATAATTGTTTGAACAGCCTATTAAATGAGTTGGCATGACTTCATGAGGAAAGCAGTAAATCTGTCTTCAAATTGACATAAATGTTGACTTTAACGATAAACAAAGCAACTCCAACATCCGGGATATCCTTGTAGCAAAATATCCGGTTTACCCCGCAAAACAGACGACTTTCTTCAGTTGAGATATTGTTATTGATTTTGACTTCACTAAAATGTCGCCGTTGCATATTGAATTTCGGAGGTTAATATTTCATTGAAATTATTAATATTATACACGTTGAATTATTTACGTTTGATTGGCTGTTTGTAGCAATGTTTAATAACCAAAAAACAGCTCCTATTTGGCTAGTCTATTACGTATAAGGTTTTATTTGCTTCGTTTTTATTCGGAATAAATTTTACCCTATCTCATGAAATATCCAAAATGAATACATCTTCTAAAATGAAAGAGATGTGACTGAGATTATATATATATATATATATATATATATATATATATATTTCATTTGTCTTTCCGTTGTCTTTAACATTGATAGCATTAAGACTACCAGAGAAAAAAATATAATAGTCACAAAAAGAATGTTTATTAGAAAAAATAAACCCAATGGTAAATAAAAATAACAGACTGGTGGCCGGATTTCTTAAGAGATCGCCATCATTCGAGGTGAGTTTTGTCGTCTGCTCCTGATACCATCAAATGTAAATGAGCAAGAACAACATTATCAGTGGTTAAATACAATGCAGGTCATTTGAAGCTCAGCATCTTGTGATATATTTTATATTTCTTCCGACCAGAAAGAAATATTAACGCTAAGACTGGATATTCCTTCTTTTATGTGCCATGTCTCTTCAGTACGTAGGCGATCATGACCCTCCTAATCTTCCTGTCTCTTGTAGCACTTTATAAGTTTTGTCACTTTGCTATTTCTCCCAAAACTTGTTCTACCATCCATTTACTCAAGCTCATCAAGTATATTACGCGAGGCTTTCTTCTGTCCTTCTTTCTCCCGATTCTGTCCTGTGAGTATCAGATTTTCCAAGCCCCCCTTCCTCATTACGTACCCCAGAAATTTCAACTGCCCCTTTCAGATACTTTTCGTTGTTTCAAGTCTCTTCTTCATCTTTGAGGAGATTGTCCAGCATTCGCTACCAAACAGGAGCACAGATATCACTTCTATACTCTTCTTTGTTTGAAATTTTTCTGTCTCTTAATACTTTACTTAGTTTTTAGAATGCATCTTTGAGCATTTCTATATACTCTCGGATATCAGTGTCGCACTTTCCGTCCTCTGTTAGAACGCTTCCCAGAGATTTAAATTCCTGTACATGTTTGATTTTAGTATCCTCGATTTATAATTTGCATGTTGGGCTCATTCTTTTGCAAGTAACCATAATTAATATCTTTTATATTATTATCGGAGTTATTCACTAAAGTATATCGAGCGAAAGAAAGCTTTTAGGAGATGACAAAGTATGTATATGTATAGGTAAGGGAGTGATTGAAAGAGAGCGAGAAGAAGATTGTTGATTGGTTGTTTTTGTTTAGCGGCATATCAACACATCTGTGGGTTATTTAATGTCGAAATCTAGATATTTAAAGTACGCAATTTCATTGAGACAGTAATGGTTTAGTTAGGTCATTTTTTTAGATCAGATGCCAATTTGACGTTATCGAACTGATTAAACTTGCTATAAAGACAGAAGTAAATAGTTGTATATCTGGGTGGGAAGAGAAAAGAGGTGGATTCATACCTTTCCCAAAGGGGGTTTGCGCTTAAACGAATTCCACTGGAATTCGAACTCGGCTCTCCGATTAATCATCCCGAGCCATTGTCCATCACACCAACTCAAAATCCAAACTTACAGTACCTGGTATTCTTAAGCGGTCACCCATCTCGATACTAACCGGTCTCGACGTTACTTAACTTCGTTAATCATACAGGGGCTGTTGTTTCAACGTGATATGGCCGTAACCCGGCGGAAGAAAGAGGATAGTTAGAGGGAAAGTCAGAGGGAAAAGAGGGGGGGACAGAAATAAAGAGAAACAAAGCGAGAATGCGATTAGAAAGATGGCAAACGTCGAGTGGAAAGGAGCATATTTGTGTGCTTGCGTGTACCTGCTTGTGTGTGTGTGTGTGAGTAAAATGTAGAGAGAGAAAAAGTTAAAGTGAAAATGAAAGTAGACAAATAACGAAATAATTTCAAAGGCAAGGAAAACGAAAGAGAAATATCAGGTGAGAAAGAGAGAGAGAGCAAAAAGAAATGAATAGAATGAAATAGGGAAAAAGAGAGTGAGTAAAAGAAGAAGAAGAAGAAGAGAGAGAGTGAGAGAGAGAGAGCAAAAGAAAAAGGCAATTTCGAAAAAGAGAGAACAAAATAGACATCGAGATAGAACGAATTAAAAAAAAGGAGAAAGATCCAAAGGTTGCTGAATTAGTGAGAGATAGAAAGAGGGCGTGAGTGAGAAAGTGTCACAGAGTGAGGAAGTGTTCCACTCTGGGACACTTCATCACTCTGCGCATGAGTGACAGAAAGTGGTTGAGGGAAAAGGCGACTGAGAAAGACTGAGAGAGAGGGATAGAGAGATAGAGAGAGAGAGGAGTGGATACACACGAAAAGCAGATGGAATTAGGAAAAAGTGAGCAAAAGCGAAGAGGTGGGGAGAGTGAGAGCGTAAGAAACAGAAAGGCAAAGGAAGAAAGAGTGCGACGAGAAAGAAGAATGTGTAGCAAAAGTAGGGAGTGAAAGAGAGAAAGAGAAACTGTTGAAAAAAAACCCCAAAAACAAAAAAAAAAAATAAAACCCCAAAAAACACGGAAGTGAGGGAGGCGGTGTGTGGTTGGCGAGATTGGACAAGAGAGAAAAGTGAATCGATTCATGTGAGAAAATCTAAACAGGATTTTAACGTGAATAAAAAATAAAACCACACACACACACACACACACACACACATATATATATATACACACATATACATACACACATATGTATACACACAGCAGACACATACACAAACACACATATATATACACACACGCATATATATATATATATACACATATGCATACACATATATATACACACAACAGACACACACATACATACATACACACACACACACACATATATATATTATATGTGTGTGTGTGTGTATGGAATGGAAGCAGATAAATAAATAACTATTTTTTGCCTTTTTATTTTGCAATTTGCATGAAATAGTCGACTCCCCCATTAAAAAAAAAAAGAGAAGATAAACAGACTGGAAGAAGCTACACACAAAAGTGTTCGATTAGTTTCGGGACATTTACAAGAGTTAGCTGTGTTTCCCTGGAGGCGGGAAGACTTGATGGCGGGAAGACACTGGTGGCGGGAAAATCTCACAAGGCCTTCTGGCTGATGAAAGAGAAGATTGACTTGACTCAAACGGCACAATTGCTGGCAACTCATCGGCTCCCTCATGTGATTTATTAACGCTGACGAGATAGAGCATTCGAATTTCATTTGCTTGTTTCTATTCTGTTAGAAATGAAGGATATTTACATACTCGGCTAGAGGAAGACACGACGCATTGCTGCATTGCTGCACATCTGCCGAATTGCACGTGAGTTTTGCATGACTGCTTCTATCTGTGCAGTAAATTGGGACGATTTCATTGACGTTTTTTTTCTTCCTGCTTTACGACCATATCACATTGGAACACCGGTTGTCGTCGGATCAAAGAAGTTAAGCAACGCTGAGCCTGGTCAGTATTTAGAAGGGATGACCACTTGTAAAAACCATGTGCTGTAATCATGCGGGTGGTGTAATGGATATCAGCTCAAAATGAGAAATAGGAGAGCCGAGTTCGAATTCTATGCGTGTCCTTACATTCATTTTCGCGTAAATACATTTGGGAACGTTAGTTCCCAAGGGTATTTATCAACTTCTAGTCCCCAGTTATGGGTTAAATAGTGGGACTTGTATCTGAAAAAAATTGTTGAAGCAATATTCAGTATTATTCTTAAAATGCGAAAATAAGAATAATATTTACATTATTCGGACTATTGTCCTCATCTTTGTACAACGTTCTGGCCGTTGTACGCTCCGGCTTTCTTCGGGTGGTTGGAATTTCGAACTGAACCCTTCATTTAGCTCACTTGGGTAGCCATGTTCAACAGATGTCAGTTGTCAATTATCTCCTATTAATTCCCGTCTCCAAGCTCTCCACTGCCTTAACCGGGTATTGAACTCACACTATTTGGGTCCTGTCACTGGATCTACCTAATGTCTTCATCCACTGTGCCATGTGTCCTTCAGGACATCTATGTATGAATTTCTGGGTATTATAAACCTAATGACCTCAGCAACGATTTTTTACCAGTGCTCATATTGCCTTTTTTTGCTGGTAACATTTCATGTTTTTTTTTACCAGAGCACATATTGCAATTTTTGTTGTTATTATCACTTTTCTCTGGCACTCTTTATGACTTATTCCCATGTTGTATTCATTTCTATGCTTGGTCGGCTCAGGAGACTTTTGTGGAGAGGGGAATTAACAGATAATTGGTAACTGACATACATTAAACATGGCACGTGGAACTAGAACAGTCTACCCCAGTGAGCGAAATAAAGGGTTCAGTTCGACATTCCAATCATCTGAAGAAGGCCGGAGCGTAGAACGGTCGAAACGTTGTAATAAATATGGCGACAAAGATGAGGACAATAGTCCGAACACTGTAAATAGTGTAAATACCACATCTCAAAAATATAGACAGATACTAAAGAATAAGAATATATATTTCAGTTTTTAAATAACCAAAAAGGGTTGAAAAGCCATAAAAACAATTGAATAATTTACAAAAATAATCTTGTCCTTCCATAATAATTATGATAACACGAGAATGGTCTTCAGGATGATAACTGGAGGGAAATAATATATTTTTTTAATGAAACGTTAGATGTTTCGGCATTTCTATCCTTCCATAAGCTATCAGCATTATGCTAAAGATTTACATTGATATATTTTTCAGTGCAGCCATAAAGATGCATTTTGCATAAACTCTTCCCCCCCCCACCTCCTCATAGTAATAATAATGATAAAAATTATTTTTCAGAGTCATTGCTGGAGGGAATATTAATAATTATAAATTTATCAATTATTGAGTCATTATTGGCGGGAATTATTAATAATAATAATAATAATAATAATAACAATAACAATAATAACAACAACGATAATAATAAAGATTAAACAAGAGGCAAAATGAAATAACTTTGAAAGGCAAAATTAAAAAGAGAAACAGAGGAAATCAGATGTAAGTTATCAATGCTACATGCGATTCAAAGAAATTCAAATGTTTCAATACGGGAAATAAATCAAAGAAATACCTCAACAGAAACTGCAATTAAAGGCACAGAAAACAAGACGATATAAAAAGCTTTTCTGGTTCTATCGACAACACGGAAAAGGAAGCAGAAATATAAAATGAAATCAGTCAATGAAGTTCAACCAATCAAGAAAATACTTCAACAGAAACTGCAATTAAAGTCACAGAGAACCAGACGATATAAAAAGCTTTTCTGGTTCTATCGACAACAGGGAAAAGAAGCTGAAATATAAAATTAAATTATATAATGAAATTCAACCAATCAAGGAAATACTTCAACAGAATCTGCACTTAAAGGCACAGAGAACAAGACGATAAAAAAAGCTTTTATTGGTTCTATCGACAACACGGAAAAGAGGCAGAAATATAAAATGAAATCAGTCAATGAAATTCAACCAATCAAGGAAATACTTCGTAACTGCAATTAAAGGCACAGAGAACCAGACGATATAAAAAGCTTTGTTGGTTCTATCGACAACACGAAAAAGAAGCAGAAATATAAAATGAATCAGTAAATGAAGTTCAACCAATCAAGGAAATACTTCAACAGAAACTGCAATTAAACGCACAGAGAACCAGTCGATATAAAAAGCTTTTTGGGTTCTATCAACAACACGGAAAAGGAAGAAGAAATATAAAAAGAAATCAGTAAATGAAATTCAACCAATCAAGGAACTACTTCAACAGAAAATGCAATTAAAGGCACAGAGAACAAGACGATATAAAAAGCATCCTTCGTTCTATTGACAACAAGGAAAAGGAAGAAGAAATATAAAATTTAATTATTTAATGAAATTCAACCAATCAAGTAAATACTTAAAAAGAAACTCCAATTAAAGGCACACAGAACCAGACGATATAAAAAGCTTTTTTGGTTTTATCGATAACACGGAAAAGGAACCAGAAATATGAAATGAAATTCAACCAATCAAGGAAATACTTCAACAGAAACTGCAAATAAATACACAGAGAACAATACAATAATAAAAGCTTTTTCGGTTCTATCGACAACACGGAAAAGGATGAAGAAACATAAAATGAAATCAGTCAATGAAATTCAACTAATCAAGGAAATATTCAACAGAAACTGCAATTAAAGGCACACAGAACAAGACAATATAAAAAGCTTTTTTGGTTTCATCGACAACACGGAAAAGGAACCAGAAATATGAAATGAAATTCAACCAACCAAGGTAATACTTCAAGAGAAACTGCAATTAAAGGCACAGAGAACAAGACGATATAAAATCTTTATCGGTTCTATCGACAACATGGAATAGGAATGAGAAAGATAAAATGAAATCAGTCAGTTAAATTCAACCAAAAGTTCAACAGAAACAAACGATGTAAAATATTTTGTAGTTTTTATCGACAACACGTAAAATGAAGAAGAAATATAAAATTAAATTATTTAATGAAATTTAACCATTCAAGGAAATACTTCAGCAGAAACTGCAATTAAAGTTAGAGAGAACAAGACGATATAAAAAGCTTTTTTGGTACTATCGACAACACAGAAAAGGAAGCAGAAATATAAAAAGAAAGCAGTCAATGAAGTTCAACCAATCAAGAAAATACTTCAAAAGAATCTGCATTAAAGGCACAGAGATCCAGACAATATAAAAAGCTTTTTTGGTTCTGTCGACAAAACGGAAAAGGAAGAAGAATTATAAATTATAATTATGTAATGTAATTCAACCAATCAAGGAAATACTTCAATAGAAACTGCAGTTAAAGACACAGAGAACCAGACGATATACAAAAGCTTTTTTGGTTCTGTCGACAGCACGGAAAAGGAAGAAGAAATATAAAATGAAATGACTCAATGAAATTCAACTAATCAAGGAAATACTTAAACAGAGACTGCAATTAAAGGCACAGAAAGTCAGACGATATATAAAGTTTTTTTGGTTCAATCGACAAGACGGAAAAGGAAGCAGTAATATAAAATGAAATGAATCAATGAAATTCAACTAATCAAGGACATACTTCAAGTATAACTGCAATTAAAGGCACAGTGCACCAGACGATATAAAAAGCTTTTTTGGTTTTATCGACAACACGGAAAAGGAAGCAGAAATATAAAATGAAATCAGTAAATGAAATTCAAACAATCAAGGAAATACTTCAACAGAAACTGCAATTGAAGGCACAGAGAACAAGACGATATAAAAAAAAATTTTAGGTTCTATCGACAACACGGAAAAGGAAGAAGAAATATAAAATTAAATTATTTCATGAAATTCAACCAATCAAGAAAATATATCAACAGAAACTGCAATTAAAGGCACAGGGAACCAGACGATATAAAAAGCTTTTTTGGTTCTATCGACATGAAGGAAAATCAAGCAGAATATAAAATTAAATCAGTCAATGAAATTCAGCCAATCAGGGAAATACTTCAGCAGAAACTGCAATTAAAGACACAGAGTACAAGATGATGTAAAATTCTTTGCTGTTTCTATCGACAACATGGAAAATCAAGCAGAAATATAAAATTAAATCATCAATGAATTTCGTCTAATCACGGAAATACTTCACGAGATAATGCAAGTAAACTGACATAGAACAAGTCTATATTAAAAGCTTTGCTGATTTTATCGACAACATGGAAAAGCAAGGAGAAATATAAAATTAAATCAGTGAAAGAAATTCAACCAATCAAGGAAATATTTCAACTAAAACTACAATTAAAGGCATAGAAAACAAGACGATATAAAAAGCCTTGTATGTTCTATCGACACCATGGAATAGCTATAAAAAATAAAATTAAATCAGTCAATGAAATTCTACCAATCAAGGAAATACTTCAATAGAAACTGCAATTAAATTCACAGAGAACAAGACGATATAAAAAGCTTTGTAGGTTCTATCGATATCAAGGAGAAGCATGCAGAAATATAAAATAAAATCAGTCAATAAAATTAAACCAATCAAGGAAATACTTCAACAGAAACTGCAATTAAAGGCACAGCGAACCAGACGATATAAAAAGTTTAGTATCTTCTATCGACAACATGGAAAAGGAATGAGAAATATAAAATGAAATCAGTCAATGAAATTCAACCAATCATTGAAATTCTACAACAGAAACTGCAATTAAAGGCACAGAGAACAAGACGAT